ACTTCGCAGTCGGCGGGATTCACAATCGGTGGAGGCATTTTAAAATCACGCAAACAGATGTAGACTCGATCGGATGGTTCCGTAACGGCGTCTGTGGCTACCCAACAGATGTAGCTACACGACGCGCGTGCGCTAAACGGCGACCGCAGCGCTGCGGCGGCGTAATTTAAACACGGTACTTACTTTAAAAACACGCCTCGTACTATGTACGAGCCCCTTCCCACTTCAGTTGGCCCACTTCAAGATTTGTACCAAAATATTCGTTTATAAACTAAACATGACGAAACTATTTACTTCTAAAGCAATTTATTTTCTCAAAAACATTTTAGATACACTCTAGTCGTAAAAAATACATATTTGAAATCACTTAGACCTATAACTAATAGAACATCTGAACAAATAAACAATGTGCGAATAAATGCGCGAAGTTAACAAAGCAACAATTGAAAGATTACCATTGGGTAACATCACCTTTATTTTTTATTACGGCTGAAATTCTTTGGGGCATAGTGTTAACCAAGTTTTGGCAAAAATTTGGTGTAAAACAATCCCATATTTCTTGAAGCTTTTGTCTCAGTTCGGTGATTGTACGAGCGTGCCACAAAGTTTCTTTAGGTAACAGATCTGGACTGCTAGAAACCCATTTCAAAAGTGGTATATTATTTTCTTCCATTGATTTTATAGCCTTTTTTGAGGTATGGCACGCTGCACCATCTTGCTGAAACACAAAATCTTGGCCGGATGTCAAACATTCTTCCATCACTGGTAAAAGCGATTCTTCTAAAATTGCCAAATATTTATTTGTATCCACATTTCCATCAATAAAATGAAGTTTTCCTACTCCTTTTGATGACATACTGCCCCAGACCATAATGGATGCTGGAAATTTCACTTTCCTCTTCCGACAGTCAATATGAAATGCTTCATTTTTTTGCTAATAACTCTACTGCGACTGTCACCAACACAAACTTCGAATCGGGCCTCATCACTCCATGTATTGCACACCATTGTTGAGGTGTCCATTGTCTATGTTCTTTAGCCCATCTAAGCCGATTTTTCGTTTGCAGTGGAGTTAATAGTGGCTTTTCTTTGGCCTATAAACAAGTTGTGCAACTTTAGGGATTTTACTTCACTTTTTTTTATAAGAAAACTTACCTTGCAAGTGCTAAATCCCAGTTTGTGGGCCTCTCTATGAGTTGTGGACCTCGAAATTCTCCTTCCAACAGCGTCACTCCACAGAGCACTTAATTGTAAATAATTGGCACGCCTGTTTTTCACGATCATTCTTCTTAATGCTCTTCGATCGGCATTTGTGATATCACTTTTTTTCACATATCGTGGCTTAATATTAACTAAACCAGTTACGTTATATCTTCTAACAATATTTCTCACACTGTACCGCGATAAGTCTAACAAAGTTGCAATTTCTGAGTTTGATTTCCCAGAATTAAAAAATTTAATTGTCAGTAACCGAATTTTCTCACTAATAGCCTTTCCTCTACCCATTTTGAAAACCTTAACTACCCAAAACTATTTTAAACGTATTCTGACAGCTGTGATTAATAAAAACAATTGTCATGGCTTTTATTTTTCACAGCCACCTGTGCGTTATAGACTTATTTTGCATTGAAATGAAAATAGGTTGATACGCTGTAATTGCAACATGTGTTATTTTTATGCTGCAAATTTGATTAGGGAGTGATAAAGTTGATGTTTTCTACTATATATTATCAAAATATTCATTGTTAATATTTTAAACCTGTAACACCCTGCTACATTTTTATTATTTGTGTTTGATAAGAAAAAAACTAAGATTTCAATAGTTGGGCCAACTGAAGTGGGAAGGGGCTCGTATGTCAATTCACTAGAGGGATGGAAGGGTGAGAGACCCTGGCAGAACTGTGTTAGGGATTCGGTAGGGCCCCTAATGCTGAACACATGACCGGGCACTGTCCGCGCCTACTTAGTATTGGCATTTCCAATAAATTGATAGTATTCGCGTATTTTTTAGCATGTAACTCATTTTTAAATATCAAGATTAAATCCAATAAAATAAAAAATTTGAAAAAAATTTGTCGCTTTTTCTAAGACTCAAATTTTAAATTTTGAGAGACCCATCCTGTATGAAATATTGCTTTACTCCACTGCACTGGGTAAAAATGAAACGATTCCTATAAGACGTGTATCCCTTTGATTATACCAAACTCAGTATTATGGAGATGTTTGCAGAACTTTTATAAACATTTCAAAGATAGATTCTGAAGTAAATTCGTTATGTTCCGCCACTGCCCAGTATTTCCCCAAGCGGCTGCAATACCGAACCCGAAGCCGCCGAAGTCGAGCCATCTTTGAAATGTAAATGTTCCGCTTCTCAATCAACTGTCGGCAAACAGTTTTATCCGACGATTCTCTATAAATAAAACATTTTATCTCTGCTATTTTCGATCCAGATACACTGCACCCTGGGACTTTTTTCTGTCCGCACATCTTCAGTCCAAAGGAAGAGATTCCATCTGTTGAATAAATACTTGTTTATGTTTTATTTAAGGTAGGGAAGACATAATTAGAAAGTCAAATGTGCATTGAGATGCTAGCAGAAATTCTGCGGTGTTATCAGCTTGGGACAGCATTGAAAAATGTGATGCTGGTACGGTCAATTAAGAGATTTATTTAGACAATATTACAGCAATTAATAAACATATTAAGCTCAAAATATCTTCACACCCGGAAAACCCAGGATCACAATGTTCAATAAATTCAATCTCCTTTCCAGGCAATCTTTAGGTGTGTTCGTGTTTCTGCTTTACCTTTTATCATTTATAACTTCATACCGATAGGCATATTTAGGAATGTTAAACTCATTCCCACGCTTAAACGTAATAAGCAATCAGGTTCTTAATATGTATTCACGGATTGGAAACTAAAGAAAACATTTATTCAGAAAATATGCCTCTCTTCATCGCATTTATAACCATACATTGTATATTATCAATGGTTGCTCATCATTCCTATGCACAACAGGAAATTGCTGTGACGTGTACACCGGTTACAGTAATTGATAAACACATATTTCATTAACTAGTGCAGTTTAATAGATGGCTTTACCGAGCCTTCTTGTAAGGATACAGGTACTAACTCTTTGCAAAAGGTCAGCTACCAGCACTATTTTTTTTTTCATGAATGAACAAATACAAGTAAAATTAATTTTATTGTTACTCGTAAATGATTTTTTAATTTAATTCAATATTGGACTATTATAACGGTTACGTGATGGAGCAAACAAGTGCTCTAAAAAATAAGTGTTGCCTTTATACCGCTCAGCACTCATTTCGTTAGCGGTCGGCAACTCTGTTTTCTCTATGAAATAGACCATTTAAGAAAAGAAGAGAGTTTAGATATAAATTTTAAGAAAAGGAGTCGGAAATGGTTATACACCACCCTCTAAATAATACAGGCCTGATCTATATATGTCTTACCTCAAGGGCATTTGTAGGGCGGAGGGTGACAAGAGAATCTAATAGACAGACTGAATCAAAGCTGACAATTGGGCCAATTACAGAAAACGCCTAGTTAGCGAAATATTGTTCATCTTTTTACATGAAAATGCTGTGAACAAGAAAACAATGTTCTCTCAGAATTCATGCCTGCATGATATAGGTGTACAGGTATAACTGCAGACAAACAGTCTGGATTTCTTTTGCCTTGCTTCAGTTGGTTTAATTCAACATTATAGTCTAAACTAGCATCAATTTGTTTTCTGATTCATGTTATATTCATCAATTTGTTTTTCATAGCTGACCTAAGGAATGTTTGTTATCGCTTGGAACGTGTTTTGAATGTCATTCAATAAGTCAAGTTGTTCTGGCTTTTATGTAGCGCCATACATTTGCTGTTGTTTTTTAAACCGCTTCGTCAATATATTTCTATACTCGGTGTCCACTTTAATCTCACCTAAATATTTCGGAAACTGCGCATACTAGAACTAAAAGTTTCAACAAAAGTTTCTAGAGTTTTGAACGGATACAATTTTAATGACCTTGACTATAAGCTTCAAAGTCCTTTCAAGGTGAACTGGATATTTTCATTAAGAATTGGAAAACCTATATCAGAAAGGAAGCTGTAATATTTAAAAACATTAGCACGTCTTATACCCAATGATGCCAGGAAGTTCTACAGGGATCTAGTTGGCGAAGCAATTGTTGAGAAAGATATATGTGTATCATTATAAATGAACTTGAGGATGAATAATACAAACTGTTCAATTCAGGTTCTTGATTGATTTTCAAATTTGTTGCCATTATTTGTTTAGTTTAATTTTTAAATGAGCACACAATTTATATTAAGAAAAATTTTGACATTGAAATTGTGGGGCTTTGAATGCGCTTTAACTTCAGTTTATTTTTTAATGAATATAATGCTAGTGACTAAACTATAAAAAAATCCTAAGTCCTAATTTTGCGTAAGATTCATGTCTTGTGACCAAAGAATCAGAGTACAGATAAGCATTATTTTTTAAAACGTTACTTGACCAAGAGCTATTTTATGTCGTTAGGTTTCAGGTATAAGAGTTTTTGAAAAATTTGTTATATAAGTTTCTACTCAGGGAACAAGAATTAGTTAACATAATCACCCCATTGATTTTTAACGAATCGTTAAGCTTTTCATCCTCCTGAAAAAAAGCTTTTTTGTGTGACGGGAAAAAAGTTTGACATTTTATCTCTGTTGACAGATAACAAAATGCCGCTTTTTTTGAAATTACTTTTGCCCTGGAAAAAATGAGTACTTTTTTCCTGGATATTGTATAAACACATAAGCAAAGGTAGTTATTTAATTTTATAATAATTTATTATACAATAAAGTTACATTTCCTTTACATCAAAAGTACAATTATTGAATGTGCATTTCATGAATGACACGTTCCTTAAAGTATTCGGTACAACAATCGAATTTTCTTGTGTTGAAATTATGTGTTTTTCTGCCATCGCAACTCCCGTTGCTATTAGCTATTTCTGTCCTGTGTGCTACCGATTCATCGACATACCCTTCAGCGACCGTTGATGAAACGCAACCGCCATGTTTCTTTACTGTCATCAAGTCTCCCCCAGATTCAACTAAAAGTGTAGCAGACGATCTTCGAAATGAATGACCTGTATATGAGTTAGCATTTTCAAGATGAAGAAAATTAGCCTTACAAAACAGGTTTTTACCTATAACCTGATTGATACATTTTCCATTGTGATACCCATAAAACAAGCGACGATCCTTTGCTGCTGCTGGACGAATCATTCTTTGTTTCCTTAAGTTTCACAATTAATAACGCTCCCGAATCTTCAATATCATCTAATGTTACCTGGCTGATTCCACAAATTCGACAAGCTCCTGTAATCCCAAATACAACCTTGGCCATTAAATAAAGTTCATCGGGAGCATTATTTAAAAAATCACTAATTTGTGTACTCGTAAAAATCGCAGCTTTCTTGGGCTTGAAACCTTTCCCATTTCGTTTCAGAACAGTAAATAGTTTGAAATATTTTGAAATGTCTTTATTATTGGATCGTAACATACTTTTAATCATTGAATAATTCGACCACACTGTTGATGGCTTTTGTTGCTGTGCCAATTTCGAAAAATAAGCCAATAACACCGTCTCCGAACTATGAACTGCATGTTTTTTTCATCTTGCATTCCATGAATATTGAATGCGCGATTTGAAGCGATTTAGCTGGCAATAATTTTTGTGGCGCTACTTTGGCTACTTCTACTAATTCCGGTGGAGTTAAAGAAAACTCGGAATCAGATACTATAGTTTATAGTATTAAAAATAACTTCTAAACAACCACTAGGTTCACAATTTTTTAAGTTAAATCATAAAACTAAATTGACAGCTGTTTGGTTACTTCAAAAGTTTTCTCAGCAATAGCAATTTCAAAATTCAAATTTCACATCGATAATTTTCCGACTAATGTAATTTTTCAATATTAAATCGTTGTTTTTTCCGTAACAGAAAAAAATGTGTATTATACACGGCAAAAATTCTAGATGTTAGCTTTAGGTTTTCTTATACAATAGAATCTAGTACCTTTTCCGTTGTATAAATAACAAATAACTATTTGTCGCTTGGTAAAATCATGGATAATGCGGTGTATTTGTCCCTCCATTAAATTATACAAAACTCTCTTGGTTCAACTTGTAGCGTTGCAGCGGATAGAGCTAGAGAGAAATCGGGTGGGTTTTGACTATTATATATGGACATGATGTTGAACGGCCTTTTGGGTCCAGGCAACCTGCTTAGTGTTCCATTGAACGGTGTACTGTTAGCTATCTTCGGCTGGCATGTCCCCTCCTTAATGACAGTAGAGGCAAGTGTCAATTTTGTTTCGACAAACCCTATATCAATCTATGATTGAAGCAATCAGATTATAAGCATAGACGCAATACTTGCTGATCTTTAAGTGTCCAAGCTTGTCCATACTATATTCATTCACAATAATACAGCAACATCAGCAACAGCACATACCAGCACAGCAAGAGCAAAGCAGCATCACAAAGAGCGCAGAGCGAACAGTAGTCCATTAGATTTTGCATTAAGGTTATACAATTTCATATTTCCCGGGGCAGAGCGCGTATTCGGCTCCATTGAGAAGATTTACGCGGCCATTACGACAATGGACTTGAGCGAAGATAGAGGGCAATATGGCCGGCAACGCCAACGCAGATGCCGCCTCGCCGCCGGTGACAATAGAACAGCGTCGAGGGATGTCAGTGGTGCAGGGACATGGGGCAACCAGCTTGAGAAACTGCTACTATTAACCGCAATGCCCCATTGTGAAGTAGCCTCTCCCTGGGTTAAAAAATAACAAAAATAGTTTAGCATATACCTAGTTTCATATATCAGCCCTTATTGTATTAATAATGGCAGTTAAACGAAGAGTGTATAAAACCTAAAACTATATACACATACAGTAGTGGCCAAAATTATAGCATGTTTTCGATTTTCTCTTTTAACATTATACTATAATTATAATCTTTAAAATACCTTTCATTCACCTTTACTTTTTGATATTTCCTCAAATAAGTAATAAAGTTATGATGTATTTCTTGGAAACTAGTTGGTCAAAGTTATAGCAGCTTATTGTAGAAAAATATATCTATTTATTGTAGAAACTCTAGAGAAAATTATAACATAATAATATTCATTAATATTTGGTGTAGTACCCTTTCGCCCTTATTACCGCAAGGCATCTTGTTGGCATCCATAAAATAATACTATTTCGACTGAAGACATCCTGAAGATTTTCGAAAAGTTCATCTGCGTTTTTGAATATTCTGTTTCTACATTTGCCGAGATTTTCTATGGGATTCAGGTCTGGGGATTGGGATGGCCACTTCATAACATTAATTTTTTCTTCCTGAAGAAAATCTTTTATCAGTTTCTAAGAATGTTTAGGATCATTATCATGTTGAAACTGATGTAACGAAGGCATAGTTTCCTCCGAATAGGGTAACATAACATTCTTCAATATATCCCTGTACACAATTCGATCCATAATCCTCTCGATTCTATGAAGCGGACCTATCCCACACTAAAACTGAACCACCACCATGATTCACTGTAGGAGAAGTGTACCGAGGGTCAAACCTTTTACCTTTAGGTCGCCGAACATAATTATTATGCAGCACCATCACTTTTAAATAAGTTGTATTTCGATTTGTCACTAAAAATAACGGCCCCACGGATCAGCAGTCCAGCTCTGATGTTCGCGTACAAATTCGAGTAGGGCCCTCACATTCTTTATTCTATATTCGCCGGTCTGGGCCCAAATAATTTTAGTTCACAAAGGCGTCGTCTTATGGACCTTTCACTAAGGTTAGAACATCCAGAGTACTCCATAATCCCTTCAATTTTGGATGAAGACAAAAACGGATCCTTCGTAGATATTCCAGTAATCATGCTATCAGTTCTTCTTGAAGTTTTTCGGTTTTCTGGGACGTCCAGAATTTTTGTTGGTACCACTAGGCCTGTTCTATTATATCTTTGCACTATACGTGGTACAATCCATCTGTTGAGTGAAATTTTTTAACAATTGATGACTGTTTGGTTCCTGACTTATACTGATTTCTTATTAGTTGCTAGATACTGTTTTACCACGGCACATATTGTTATTTAAATACTTTAAGTACTACTAGGAGATCACAATATAAACTTTTTCAAGAACGCACTTGGTCGGAATTAAACGAAATGAATAAATGCGCTGCTATATTTATGGCCAGGCAAAACAATTGGCAATCACATTCCGTTGTCAGCAAAAAACCAAATAACCTTACCTCCATTTGGAGGTACCATTTTGTTTGAATAGTGATGGTGAGTTTAATTTTGGCCACTACTGTATATACTTCTGTTTTCAAAACTTAATAAAAGCCAATGTATGAATCAGGATTTTTTTTGTTTCTCATGATGTAGGCGCATGCCGACAGGTCTGTTTCACATAGTTTTGAAGATCAAATCAGATAGGTGACGTCCCCTGTTCTCCATACACTTTGTATGGTCGGAATTAAATGAAATGAATAAATTCGCTGCTATATTTATGGCCAGGCAAAACAATTGGCAAACACATTCCGTTGTCAGCAAAAAAACAAATAACCTTACCTCCATTTAGAGGTACCATTTTGTTTGAATAGTGATGGTGAGTTTAATTTTGGCCACTACTGTATATATTTCGTTTTTTCAAAACTTAATAAAAGCCAATGTATGAATCTGGATTTTTTTTTTGTTTCTCATGATGTAGGCGCATGCCGACAGTTCCGTTTCACATAGTTTTGAAGATCAAATCAGATAGGTGACGTCCCCTGTTCTCGATACACTTAACCGATTTCTGATGCTTGTGTGTGTGTGTGTGTAGCAGAGGTTATGTGGACAGTTTTTTGAAGAGTGCTTGGACGGCTCGCACAAACACGAAATCTTAAAAGACTCCGTAAAAAAAATCGTAAGGGGCCAAATCGGGAGAGCGAGCCGGCCACTCCAAATAGCACAATTGAGATGGGAGAGACGGAAAAAGAGATAGAGAGATGGAGTCACGTTCAGAAAGTTCGTGCACAATTGTAAGGATGGAAATGAAAGATCATCGTGAATAATTCGGAAAGTAAAAAGGCAGATGCACTCCCTCAATGATCCAGGTGGTTTAATGGGACGATGGATTCCGGTTCTCGGCCGTCTTTTGTCCCTAGAGTGTCAAGATTGTGAAGCGGTGTGCTCTAGGACGTTTCTTCAGTTACTCTAGCTTTAGATGCTTCAAATCTACACCTACATCTAGCTTTTGTAGCAGTTGCGATACCTCTTTTGCTTAAGGTATCATGCCCTTATGAGATGTTGACGTTGGCAGCTGCTATGCAACCTTATAGTGGTTACGTTCTATGCAGCACCTAGATTCTTAAGAATACTTGCATCAATATTCTTGACTTGTGGATAATTTGCTGGTGATTTATATCTCGAAGCAAGATAAGCCGATGTGTATATTCCCACAAAACCACCATTTCGTGTGAAACATTCATCAAATCATTATGAAAATGCCAGATCTATCGACTTTCCCACGTATTGATATGTATCTCTCGTCACTGATGAACCTCCCTTATTTTTAGCTACCCTTTCTGTACCAGCCATTAAACAAACAAAAATCAAAGCCATGTCCGAACGAAGGGAGGGGGAAGTCCAACAGCCACCCTCCGTAGATTCGGCTCCAGACACGACGGGGTGTCTAGAGCTGCTGTGAGAATGGACGAAAGCCATCGCCCGCGGCTTGCGAAAAGCGGGTGGCTGTGGATCGGGGTCCGGCAGCAAAAAATAGCGAAAGAAACTACATTGTATGTTGTATTAACGACTATATGATGATTCAGGTGCTCCTACAGCAAAAGGTACGTAAAAATCATCATGAAAAGTTCTTCAAATATGAGACTTGAAACGTCCTGTGGTCAAGGTATGTACAAGATACTGGCGTGTTATATTTATGGCATGTAGAACAGATAACAAACAGTTTATGGAGGAATAAAGATTTTGATACAGGATTTTGAGTAAATAGTACAAACACCATCGCGGTTCGAAATACACCCTTCATTGGCATAATCATTGGGATATTCACACACCTAGCAGAAGAAGAATTGTCTTCTTTGCCATTTCGTGATTCACAATCTGTG